CTAGGACTGGGTCTGGGGGCTCCCGGAACTCGGCAGAAAATCCTACTGGGTGGGCGGGGTGGGGGAGGCACTGCGGAGTGGTTGGGGGCGGCCCAAGGGGCTGGGAGAGGGTCCGGCCCACTCTGCGCCTGGGCTGGGACTGGTCCCCCCGGCGCAGGGTAGCAGGAAGCTCCTCCATTTTGTTTTAAATGCTGTACTTTTTAAAAGCAATATATTCCCGTTGCCTTTTTTTTTTTTTTTTTTTTTAGAACTGGGGATTGAACTCAGGCCCTTGCACTTGTTCTACTGAGCCATCTTCCCGGCCCTTTTTCTTTTTCCCTCCTTTTCTCTTTCTCCCTTCCCCACTTCCCTCCATCTTTCCTTCCTTTTTCGTAGTGGTAGGGATTGCATCCCGGGCCTTCACCCCTAAACTACATCCTCAGGCCTGTTTTGTTTTTATTTTGAGATAGAGTCATGTTAAGTTGCCCAGGCTAGGCTCAAATTTGCCAACCCCCCCTGCCTCACTTTTTAAAATTTATGTATTCATTCAACAAATGCCTTTTGAATGCTTTTCAAGTCCTAAACCATTGCCAACAGGAAAATAAACATTTTCTTGTCTTTGAAAGTTTGCATATGGTTGGAGAAAATGGGCAAACAAATAGGCTACTGTGCCATAGTGTCCTGAGGGAAATGCAGCATTATTGAAGCTAATGACAAGAACCAGATGGAATTGATTGCAAAATCCTATGTAGCCCATTTTTCTTCTTTAGGACATCTTTTTCATTCTTGATGCTTTCTATGGAAAAATTAACCTATGCGTGGAGTAGCTTATGCCTTGGACTCTTTAATCCTCAGAGTGTGCTGTTTGGAGGAGGCAGGACCTATTGGAAAGTCCCTAGGTCTTTTGGGTGCTGCCTTTGGGAAAGTCTTAGAGACCAGGGTTGAGTTCGCCAGAAAGCAAGCTACTCCCTTGAATGGCTCTGTGGCTTTCTTTTTTGTGAGGTAATTGCTCCTGGGAACACATACTTTTGTCATTTTGATGCCAGTGCATGCCTTCCAGAACTGAACTAAATTAACTTCTTTATAAAGTTCCTAGCTTTGATATTTCCTTATGGTAACCAAAACTGGACTAATAAAGTACTTGTATCCTGTGTCAAATCTCCTCATTATTATACACAAAACCTTTGGCCCATGCCATAGTTATCTGCAAATTAAAAGATACATTGATATACTTCAGTATTTCTCAAAATGTGTCTTAAGGAAAAAAGTATTTCATGCAAGTAGAATGTAGGGTCAAATAAATTTGAGGATCATTTACATATGAACCTTCAAAAGTACTCTGAGAAATATTACTGTAAAGAATTCAAGTAGGGGCTGGTGA